TATTTTTTTCGTTGTTTTTTTCGCTATCCTTTTCATTATTATTCGAAATAGCTAACACAGTGGTTCGTAGTTCATATGTACACTTGTTAGAACAACTGTTTTCAAAGAATAAAGAATGAATACAAAACATAATATTTATAATTATAAATCCAAATATATATGTAAAATTAAGATTATCCATTTGAATATGTTCAATTATTGTTTTTATTACATTTTCAATATTTCTTACAAATTTGTGTTTGGAGTTTATCAATGTATTTGCATTGTTTTGCGCAAAATTTATATATTCCTCGTAATAATCATATTTAGTAATTTTATTATTGATGTATTTTTCGATCTCTTCATTCATTCTTAAAAAGTTTTCAGAAAAAGGATAATTTTCATCATTAATAATTTTTATACATTTTGCTGTTATAGATGTATCATCGTAGTTGTTTATTTCATAATATTTCGAAAAAATGGAGTAAGAATTTTGTTTCATAGTAGTATTAAATATATCATACAATTTTGAATTATTTTTATGTATATTTTCATTATTACTATTTTGTTTAGACTCTTGTCTGTTTTGTGATGAAACATTTATTTTTTTTTGGTCATCATATGTATGTTCATTTAATTGGGAAAAAATTTGCTCATGCATAAGTATGTTATCATTTTTAGTAAATGTTTTATTAGGAACATTTATTATTGTATAATATTTTTCATTTTTATTCCACTCTAAAATATGGTTTTCCATTAAGGCAGTATTTGGTATTAAATTTTTGTAACAGTTTAACAAATGTGTAATAAAAAAATCGTATTTATTTAAAATGTCAAATACGACTTCAAAAATTTTAACAAGAGAAGTAAAACTATTTTTTCCCTTCATTTTTTGTACTAATTCATCTAACGGAATAAATAAAAAATTATCTTGTTCTGAAAATAAGTTTTGTTTGTATTCATTTGTATGTTTCTGATTATTTTCGTTTTTTCTCATATTTAATTTTTTCTCATCCCTATTTAAATAATCGAAAATTTTAATGCTTCTATTAATAAAATCGTTTGTTTTATATTTTTTTGAAAATAGTGTATTTTTTTTACCTATATTAGTATTAAATGAGTGTACACTTATGTTATCTTCATCACGTTCAAGCACATTTTTATTAGTGTTTATAGTTTTATCATTTATATTTTTAACTAAATTTTGTTCATCGCATGACATGTCATTATAACTTATGCTTGTATTCATATTTCGATTTAACGGGTCATTAATATTATCACATGTGTTTTCATTGTTATGCAAAAAATTTTCATTTTGTTTTTGCATTTGTTGTTGTATTTGTTGTTGCATTTGTTGTTGCATTTGTTGTTGCATTTGTTGTTGCATTTGTTGTTGCATTTGTTGTTGCATTGGATGTTGTTGCATTGGATGTTGTTGCTGTGTAAATTTTCCTATTTTATCTTGCTTATTCGTTTTCTCTACTCTTTCAATTTTGTTATGTTCCAATTCATTATGCATGTGTTTCGTTTTATCCATAATAACAAATGAAAAAATAATTTGTTTCGACATTTTGTGAAAACATTGATATACATGAGCCAACAAATTTTCAATAAAGTTAAAAGGTTTTGATTTAAAAAGTAAGTAATATATTTTAATTGATTTGTTTAGTAAATCTTTTAAGTTTTTATTAGAATTGTTTGCAAATAAAAAATCAACAAAGCTTGTCTGATTTGTTTGTTTTAATTTGTTAAAATATTCAGAATGCATTTTTTCTTTAAATTTATGTATACAGTTAATATTTTTTAAGACCTCATGGTTGCTATTTATGTAATCGGATAATTCAAAATATACTAGAGCTGCGTATTCATAATTTTTTTTCAGTATATTTTTAAAAATTAATTTATCGTAAATATATGCGATATATATAATTAAAATAATTAAATTAATTTTTTGATAATTTTTTTTTTGAGAAACTAAATCTACAATATTTAAACTTTCTTTATATTTTTTTTCTTGTAATGCTTTTAATTCATTTATATTATCGGCTAATAATTTTTTTATATTGGTAAGGTAATTTTCTATTTCTTTAACTTTAATTGTGTTGGTAATAATAGTTTTATATTTTTTTTCTAATTTTTTATATATAGCTGTTTCTATCTCATTTCTTATCGAATTTAAATTGTTTATAATTTTCATTATTTCTTCCACATTATAAATATCATTAACTTTATCAAATTCTTGCTCGAACACAATTTTTTCTCTTTCTTCATAAATATGTGTCTCATATTTTTGTTCTGAGTTAAGATAATAATCTATACCAGTGGATATGTTTTTACCCAATTTGCAACAATTTTGTTTTTCTTCATTATCTTTGTTATTATTCTCGTTGTAATTTTGGAATTGGTAATGATCTTTTTTTTCATTTAGCATATGCAACGTTTTGTCAGCGTTAGAACATATTTCATTATTATGCGATTTACATACATTATTTTTTTTAAATTGCATAGCATCATTATTAGAATAAAAGTAAACTTCATTTCCTGTAAGATGATTTACACTGGCACCTATGTCAAAAAATAAAACTTGATCATCTTGTGTTTTCTTATTATCCATATTTTCTTCTATTTTTTATTACTTTATTATTTTTTTGCATTTTATAAAAACGCGAGGAAAAAAAAAAAACTAAAAATAAACTTGATAAAATTAGATCATGTCAAATTAAATCAAATCAAATCAAGTTAAATCAAATCAAATAAAAAAAACTCAAATAAAAAAAAATCAAATAAAAAAATATCAAATAAAAAAAAATCAAATAAAAAAATATCAAATAAAAAAATATCAAATAAAAAAATATCAAATAAAAAAAAATCAAATAAACATAAGGTTTGGTTAGAAAACAAATTTCATTAGTTTTGATACTTTGAACTACAAAGCGAATTAATAAACAAAACAAATTAACCATGTGATATTACATGTGTATGTATCTATACATTAATTATGTTAATTATATTACTTATTACTTAAAACTAAAAAAAAGATAGAGAAAAATAGGAAAAAATAGGGAAAAATAGGGAAAAATTGGGAAAAACATAAAAAAAAGAATAATCAATAAAAAAAAAAGTTGTATATTAAATCGTAAGTTTAATTGTTTTAACGTTTAACTGTTTGTATATTTTTTTTTTTTTTTTTTTTTTTTTTTCATAGCTTACAATTAAAAAAAAAATATATAAGTATAAATGAACAAAATAAAATAGCAGTCTCTTTAATTTACTCAATAAAATTTTTTATATTTCGATGATTATAAGAAATATGAAAGAGTTAAATTTTTTAAGTTAGGAGGGGAAAAAAATTGCTTACATGTATATATGTACAAAAATATAAATATATATATATATTTTTTTTATTTATTTGACAGTTTACAATGAATAAACAATCATATGATATTTGTAAGCTTTAAATAAAGCGAAAAATTGATATTATAATAATTTTAGTAACCATGTGTACAATGCTTTGTATAAAAATACGAGCATTTAAAATCATAATTCCTGAACAACTTGCTTTAAAAGTTATATTAATTTTCATTTACCGACAGTTTTAAAAAATTAAAAATATTTGTATGTATACATTCATGTAAGCAATTTATTTTTTACATAAATAATGTACAACATTAAACTTTAATAAGCGCTTCAAAAAAAAAAAAAAAGGAAAAGAGCCTTAAAAAAAAAAAAGAACACATAAATATGTGTAAAAATGTTCGCCTTTTTTAAGACGTTTTTTTATATAAAAACACAATTCATTTAGTAAGAAATAGCTAAATTGAGCCATAACATCATAAGTATAATGAAGTTATATATCACAAAAAAAAATAAAAAAAATTCACTTTTGTTTGAAATATAAAAAAATCATTGTTTTAACTTATATACTAAAATGTGAAATGTATTTTTCTCCTTTTTTTTTAAGCGTTTAGTGTTTTTATCAAAACATATTTTTAAATGTATTCAACGAGTCATTTATTATCCAGCTCGTTTTATTTTTCGAGTATATTATTGATAATAAAAATATTTTGTTTTTAAAATGTTAAAAAAAAAGGAATGTATATAAATATATTTAAAAGAAAGTTTATTTATAAATATTAATAACCGTATGTTTCTTTTTTTTTTTTTTTTTTTTTTTTTTCGTAAAAAAAAAAAAAAAGTAAAAATAAAAAATATTTTAGTACTGCACGTTAAAAAGATCTTCATAAATATTATAAATACATACACATTATCAATGAAAATGTATAATAAAACATCACGTATATATATACTTATTTTTAAATACTTCCATTAAAGCTATTTTCTTTTATGAAAATTAAAAAAAATTTTGTAATAAAATTTTAACAACAATCCATACAAAGATTTTATGTAAAAAAAAAAAAATTAAAAAAAAAATCCGATGAACCGGAATCGAACCGGTGACCAACAGATAACCGTTACGTCTACAGTCTGCCGCTCTACCAACTGAGCTATCATCGGTTGATAAGATAATTACATCAAATAAATAATATAAAAATATAATGCGACTTTATAAATGTACATAAAATTTATTCTTTTTAATTATGTACATATATCTGTGAATTTACATATAAATGTTTAAAAATATATGTATATAAATATTAACTTGTGAAAATATAAATAATTGTAATATTTATAAAATAATAAAATTCAATATATGTAAATAATTAAATACTGATTATGATGCTTAAGAAAAAAATTAATCACATAATTTTTTAAACTTACATATTTTTTTTTTTAATCAAAAAAAAATGTATACCATATATTCAAATATTCTTGCTGTACTTTGCTTTTTTTTCAATAAAAAAAAAACATACAAAAAAACATTAAAAAAAAAAAAAGTGAATATAAAAGTATGTGTTAAAAATATATATATATATATAAACTAATACGAGCAAAAAACAAAATATTGAATTGGTATTGAATTGTTATATATATAAATATTTAAAAAAAATTATAAAAGAGAAGGGCGATTAGCTCAAGTGGTAGAGCGCTCGCTTAGCATGCGAGAGGTACGGGGATCGATACCCCGATCGTCCATTTTAACATTATTTTAAATATTCATGAAAATAAATGTTGTTATTATAATTATTTATATATATATATATATATATATATATATAAATGTATATATATATATATATATATATATATATTTTTAACAGAATTTTATATTTGAATTACTATAACATATAAATACACTTTATAATAAATAAACATATAAATTATAATTTTTATGAGATTAATAAATGTACGAGATTTGAAAAAAAAATTAAGTCGTAAAATTAGATAGTGTAAATGTAAATTTTGTATTGCTCTTAAAATGTAAATAATTAATAATTATTAGCAGATTTAAATTTGCAAACACAGTTAAATTTTTTTTTTTTTTTTTTTTTTTTTATACCTATGAAAATACGTTACTGCAGCGTTATATATATATATATATATTTAAAATATAATAGTATTTTATTTATTTTGTTACATGGTTGTAGTACAATATAATAATTTGTATAGTTTTACTTATTAATTTGTACAAAGTGTTTATTATAAAAAAAAAAGTAAAAATTTTAATAGTACAATTAAAAAAAAAAAAAAAAAAAAAAAAAAAGAAAAAAAAAGTATATATATATTATTAAAAGTGCTCATAGTAATCCTAATTTTTATATTAGCTTTATTTTTTTTTGTTTTTTTTTATAACACATATTGATCAATATGCTATTAGTTCATTTATATACATTCCTGTATGTACATACAAAATAGCATTTGTTTTATATAAAGTGTCTTTGTATTTGTACTTTTTTTTTTTGTCCTATTATTTTTTTCTTCAAATATATTTTTTTATAATTTTATAATCGTTAGGATCCTTAATAAAAACGTTTTTTTTTATAACTACATCTAATTAAAAATTATTTTTAACATTATGGAATAAATGGTTTAATTTCATATTATCTTTTAAATAATGAATTTTTTATAAAAATGTGTTATTTTGTTTTTTATTATTGTATTTTAAACTCTTTTTTGTTTTTTTATTATGTATGATATTTGTAGTCTTTTTTACTAACACTTGTTATTCATGTCAAAGTAAATTACATTTAATTTTTAGTAATAATACTATTATATAAAGATAATGTTGTATTTTTAAGCATGGAATATATTTATTGAAAAAATGCATATCTACTATAAATATGATATGACAAGTTTTTTTTCAAATTATATGTGTTTAAACTTATAACCAAATTCGTTTGATATTTTTTTATGTAAAACAAATGATTAAAAAATTTTTTAAAAAATAAAACTACTCAATTTTGTATAATACATTGTTATTATTTTTGTTATTGTAATACAATTAGTTTATAATATATTATTGGTATTATCTTTATAAATGTTCCATTTAAGATTCTATGTATATGCACTACACATGATAAACAAAAGATATTAAAATAAATATATTCATTTTTTTTTTATAAAATGATAAGAATATATAAATATACAAAAAAAAAAAAAAGCATAATGTAACAAAAGTTGTAACAAAAAAAAAAAAATTGCAAAGTTTTAAATTGTTGGATATTATGGTTAACTTACATACATAAATATATATATATATATATATATATTATATATGTTTAAGATTGTTATTATTTATGGCAATTTGTCTTTTTTAATTTATTATTATTTGGGATAGTCACAAAATTATGAGAAGCTTATATTTTTATATATATATTTTGAATGAGTTATATTAATAATTAGGAAGTACGCTTATTATGTATATTTTATTTTAAGGCAAATTTCGTTTTCTTTTCATAGTTAAAAGCGGCATGTTTTTTTATATACTAATATTATAGCTAAAGGTTTATATTTCTTTTTTTTCTTTTTTTTTAATATCCATTTTCAATGTCCATTTTATTTATTGGTAATAACCACAAAGAGTTGCATTATGTATAATATATAAATTTTAATAATTATAATACTATGGAATTTGGGTTATTAAATAATAAGGTAGCAGTATTAATTTTTTTTTTATAATAATATTCGTATTATTCATATTTTAAAAAAAATAGCAAATATATAAATAAAGAATGTAAAATAAAAATATACATTTATTCTATGTAAAAAAAAAAAAAAATGTAAATAACATCATAAAACACTTTTAAATTATTTTATATTTAATTGCATGTGAATGTATATTTTTTTTTATATGTCATGTGAAATAAGTATTTTAATTAAATGTTTTAAATAAATGTTTTAAATAAATGTTTTTTAAATAATTGTTTTAAATAAATGTTTTAAATAAATGTTTTAAATAAATGTTTTAAATAAATGTTTTAAATAAATGTTTTAGGTTGATGCACATTTTATTTACAATTTTTTTTTAGTTTTAACAAATGTGTAACATTTTTATAGATTACACTGGTTTATTGTGTTAATGTTTTTTATATACACACATTTAGCATTAGATTAAGAAAAAGTGTTAACGCGTAAATAAGTAGTGGATTTTTTTTATTATATTTGAAACCACATAAAAAGTAAAAAGCGCACTTATAATAATAACAATTTAAAAAAAAATGTATACAAATAAAATGGTCACAAATTATTTTTTGTTTTTTATGAAATATGTTAAAATTTTGAAATTTATAAAAATTGATAAAAAAATGTAACATTTGAAAATGTAATATATATAATGTTTTAATTTGAATACAAAGAAATAGAATATTTTATTGTAATTGAAAATGTAACATATATCATGCTTTAACTTGAATACAAAAAAATAAAATATTTTATTATAAATATTAATAAAAAAATAGCAAAACACATCTATTCTTTTTATATATAATGTAAAATCTTAACATATAGTTAGGATATTTTTTTTATGGTTGGTGTAACATTAAAACTTTTACATTTTTACTTGTAAACTACTGAAAAATACTAGTTAAAAAAATACCATTTGAAAAAAATACTACTTAAAAAAATACCACTTAAAAAAATATTACTTAAAAAAACACCACTTAAAAAAACACCACTTAAAAAAACACCACAAAAAAAGTGTATAAGGTACATAAATTATT